ATTATTGATCATATTTGTCTGATAATTGAGCTAAGGTCTCTATAATATATGCTTCTCTCTTCTTAGTAACCTGTAAAAGTTTATGTTTTTTCATAGATATATTGATTATGTAATAGGGAGTAAGGTGACTATGTTTGATGTTATTGTGTTTTGCTGATGATCATTATTATGTTTTCTTTAATATGTATTGCAGATTTGTTTATTCTTTATTATTATTTTGGTAATATAAAAAAATCTTATTATTTGTTGTGATGTATTGGTAATATTTATTTTACGTATATATTGTGATAGTATTGCTGATATTGTTGATCAGTCATTAGTAAATATATGGGATTATGGGGTTGTTGATAATTGATTTGCATAAATATGTAGAAAGTATATTAATATTGTTTATTTGATACATCTTTTGAACTTGTTGTGAAAAGTATATATATCTGTATTTGTATAAATAATATTATTGAAATGCTATTGTTGTAATATACATATATGCTTCTTTATTATATAGTCAATAAAGCTTGGACATCCCTTTAGATTTATAAAGTATTTGAACTTGGACTGATTTATCAGTTTAAGTTATTGCTTGTGAAGTTTCTCTTGATATCTAAAAAGATATTAACCTATACTGATCTGGCTAGGAGCTTTGTGAGGTTGATGTTGAACTTTCAAGAGCTTACTGTGATTCAATCTTTTTTGTTGTTTTTCTCTTTCTAAAAAAAAAAAATTTATATAGTAGAAGTTAGTAATTTTGTAAAACTTATCTCTTCTGCACTCTGTAAAGAGTTCCTGAACTTGTTTTTATAAGTTGTTTAGTTGTAAAAGTGGTTTCTCTTGTTTTTTTTTGGCTGGTTTTTCTTTTTCTCAAAAAATTATTAAAAAAAATTTTTTTTGAAAAATTGAGGATCAACAGAAAGAGTTTTTTTTTTTATAAAAAATTTGTATTATTATAGATAATTATATAATTTTTCAATAAAGATCAAGCCATGTGATATGGTTGCAGGTTAAAAAAAAAAAAGTAATCAAATTTATTAAATTAGACTAATATATTAAATTTAATTACTTGAGTAATCTTTTTTTTTTTTTAATCTGCAATTATAGTATATTATAATAACTTTTCTTTATTGAGAAATTAAAATAAAATCTATAATAGTTTATAGACTTTCATAAAGTAACTACTTATCCTTATACATAAGTATTCTAAATCAAATTTTGGGAACAATATTATACTTCCTTGATAGATTAGTAATAACCTCTATCTATCAGGATTATTGCTAACAGTTTGTTACTTTTAATTGATCCAAAAACTAATAAATTAAGTTAAAAAAGAAAATGAGAAAAATGATTGAGAGAAGGTAACAATTCAAGGCTTCCAAAAAAAGTCCAAAAATAAAAACAATTTCTTTTCAAAAGGAATTTATCTGATTGAAACAATTTTCTTGCTTCATTTAAATCTTAAAAAAAATCTTTTTTTGTTAGTACTTGCAATATCGGATGAGTTAATTCAACTAGTCTTTTATTTAAATGAGTACTAAATTGAGATACAGTATTTCAAAAAAACCATTTAAATCTTAGCTTTTTTTTATTTAAACTTTGTTATCATTTGAGAAACTTAAGTAAAAGATAAGAGTTTGCAATCTATATTATTCATCACTTGGTCTTTTGATATCATAAAAGTCTTCATTAAAGAACTTAAGCTTTTGAGAATAAACATTTTCAGAATATTCTTTTCAATTATCAATAATATAATCAAAATATATGAATATAATCAATAGAAGCTTGTTTATATTTCAAAAACTAATATATTTTATATCAATCAATTATCTTTGGTGAGAATTTGTGCTACCCAAAATTTAGAGTCAAATTTAAATAGGCAAAATTCTCCAGAAAACTATAAAAATAGAAACTAAGAGGGTAAGATAGTAAAAAAAGAAGAAAATAATCATTTTTACTATAGAAAACCTCTATAAATCTCTTGCTTTAAAGATTAGACAGACTTTCAGATATTTTACAATCAATTTTTCTTTCTTTAAAAACTTTTTTGCTATTGGTATCAAAGATATTACTTGACTTTTCTTGGTCATTAAAAGTCAAGTTTTTGAGTAAAAATAGTTATAAATAAAAAAAAAAGGATAAATATAACTCTTGAAGTCATTATTTAAATTGTTTTAAGGAAAGTATTAAGACTTTATTTAACAAAGAAGTATAAAAACTTCTTGCAAACATCTTTTTTATGTGTGATTAAAGGATTAGTGAAAAGAGTTTTTTTTTTGTCTTACCATATATTCAATAACATTATAGATAATAATATTAATAAAATTAGTTTTTTTTCAATTGAGCAAGTTTTTTAAAAAAAGCAATTATATTATTAAAAAATAAATAATTAATTATATAATATATTAATTTTTATTTCTTAAAAATATAGAGATTTTTTATTGCAATTCTAATTAAACAAGTTTTTGAAAGATTCTTTTTATTTTAGTTAGATAGTATAATATGAATTATGAAAATATCATTAACTCTTTCCACTGATTCTCTGACCACACACAAAAAAGATATTTACAAGAAGTTTTAATACTTTTATGCTAATAGAGTCTTACTACTTTCTTTAAAATAACTCAAAGAGTTCTATCTGAACTTTCTTAACTCCCCTCTCTTTTGTTTACAATCTCCTTTGAACAAACCGAACTTTTGTGATCTGCAAAGTTCAGCTTCCACCTTTACTATCAATAGTAATAAAGTTCCTAAAGAAAAAAAGATCAATAGTGAAATATCTCCCATCTTTCAGCTATGATAGTAATAATAGAGATTAAGTTCTAATCAAAGGACTCACTTTTCTATTCCTTTGAATGATGTTGTAGTCTCTTAAAGCTATTTTTTCATGACTTTTTTGAAGAATTTTGTCTATTCCAGCTTGATCCTGAAATTTCAGGTAGCATGATCTTATCAATTCTGATTGATTAATACAAAACATGTTGAACAAAATTGATAAACAAGTTTCTATTGAATATCTCATGTGTCTGAATACATTTTCTCAACTTTATCAGAACCTGGAATTCACTATAAGTGTACTATCTGGTACAGGTGGATACAGAATATGCTACTAATACATCTTTGAATATAAGAAAGAATTCATCTGACTATAGTAAAGGTTACAAAAGCTTGATAAACCTTTTGAAAATTAGAGTCACCTATTCTTGATTATATGTCAGGTAGGTTTTTGCTCCTATTGCTTGGAAAAGTTCAATTGGAAAAAGTAAAGAAAATAATCAAGAACACTTAGTGGTAAAGCTAGTGCATATGATAAATTATGAAGTTTTATCCTATCTTCAAAAAACTTCAAGCTGGAAGACTGGAAGGTTAACACTGCTACACCAATCAAAACTTGAGCTGAAAATGTTAGCAGTGACATGCAAACCAGTCAAATAATCTGGAAGATCCTTATTAATCACTAATATCAACAAATATCAATAAAGTATATCAACCGTAAGGCTAGGTACAGTCCTTTTATAGGGAATTAAATTTGAAATACATTGTACAGATAGATAAGTATATCCATATTTGGATAGGAATAGGTTTAATTAATGATACATTAGGAAACTTTCAAGTCATTCATGTGAATATTAATATATCACCTGGATCTTTCTGATTACTTACTTCTTACAAGTCTTAAAACTATCCTTATTTTTATCTTATTTTTATAAAGACTCAGTAAAAGCTTCCCTAAACTACTATTTAAAGGAGAATTCAAAAACAAGATAAGCATGAGCAAAGAAACATCACAATTACTCCTCAATATAGTATATAACTGCTCCTTTTATTTTTTTTTTATTTTTTTTAATAACATCAGTATACTTAATGGGATGCTAACTTCTTTTATAAAAGAGGGCAATAAATCTTGAAATAGTTTTAGCTTATTGAATTCTTTATTTATCTCTGAATACACACTCCTGTATATACACTTTATAAATTTGTATAAATATAATTTGAAAATTAATAAAGATTAGGCATCAGCCTGTTAAAAAAAAAAAAAAAAAAAAAAAAAAAAAAAAAAAAATTATGAAAATATAATAAGCAAATTTATGTACTGATAAAAAAATGTGTTTTTTAAATATTCTTGAAAAAAAACTTGTACAAGGATAAATAAGCTTTTAAAATAGTTCAAAGCAATTTCAATCAAATAAATTTCTTTTAAAAATTTTTTGTTAATTTGAATAAACATTTTTTGAAAGAATTTTACATTATTATTATTATTATTATTATTATTTTCTTTTTCTTAATATACAGTATTAATTTGTCAATTTGTCAATTTTTTAAACAATTTATAATGATAAACTATTTGCAATAATCCTGATAAATAATAATATCAATTTATCAAAAAAGTGAAACATTTTTCCTAAATTTGACTTAAAGTATCTGGTTAAGACTTTGATTTTTTTTTAATTTGAACTAGCTTAATGAACTTCTCACATTTTTAAGTAATATAATCCTTTAACTAATAATGTACAAGTAAATAAACATGTGAATAATCTATAAATATTTATTTAATGTCTCAACAAAGACATGCCATAAAGGCATGATTGTGGATTAAAAAAAAAGGAAAAAAAAAATAATAATAACAAATTTACCTTACTACTTTACTTTACAGTAAATACACATAAAAGTAAATTTATTAAATTATTTAATTTTATTAAATTTATTAAATCAAAAAAAAAAAAAAAAACCTATCAAAAATTCCCAATCGAATTGGTATATCCTGCACGCATATTGATAAAATCTCATTTATTTGATTTATAAAATAATCGCTTTTTAGTTAATTCTTTGCAATCAAATCTTTAGTCGAGAAAATTCCACGATTCCACAATTGCTGGGGAGAAGTGAACAATCTCACATTCCGGTTAAGTTTGCCTAACATTTTGTAAATTTTTATGCAAAAGAAAAAAAAAAAAATCATAAAAATTTTTAAAGAAATCATTCATATTTCGACAAGATCCATTATCTATTGATCATCTCCTGATTTCTGTTATAGCCGATTTTCCCCTCTTCTTTGCAGCATTCAATGTTTTTTCCGAGATGACATCAAAAAAGTCATTTTCCAAAATATATCTGAGGGATTGCAGGATTGAGTTTTTCTCTCGGGCTCTCTCGCTGTGCAGTAACTGCATCATTATTTGGAAGTACATGTTAGTGAGCGACAGGTAGTAAAACAAAGGTCAATCAACAAAAAGAAAAAAATTTTTTTTCTTACCATATCACGTAGATTTTTCGAGCGAACCCTTTGTGAATCAGGTGCACGATAAAGTGGGGGGCAAATCTGAAATGGAAGAGCGTCAATTACGCAACAGATGGCGACGTTTCTCTCGAAAATGTGATAGCGATGAGAAATACCATTGATCCCTCATGTCGGTTCCCGCAATTCTTTCCCCTTGGACAGTGACCTGGCAGATATTTGATGCAAATCTTGTTGTACAAACGTTCGCTACGATTTCCCGCAGGCGATCTCGAACTAGAACCTTCTCTCGTGTCAGTATCCCTATCGGCAGCGACCGAAAGATCCGAAAATATGTTGCGTGTGCCATCAAATCTTTTCCCGTTAATGATGATCACTCCGTCATTGGTCGTGTTCTTCTTGGACTTGTGACCACCACTTTGTCTCCAATCACCATCTATAACTTCACCGCGAGCGATTCGTTTGACCTCGGCTAGTTTCTATTTTTGAATCATGTAAGTATAATGAGTACGAACAAAAGTTTAAATCACGCGTCGGTAAGAGGGGAGGAAGGAGCTGTTCACCTTTTTTGCAATATTAGCATCAGTCGGATACCTTTTCTTTCTCTCTTCAATCCATATCGCGATGGCCTCCGGAGTGTCAAGCATAAAATTCATCTTGGGTTTGAGAGCTCTGAACGTACGGTATGTGTCGGTGAGGACAATAAATGAGCAACGGAAATAAAAAAAGACATTACACGGCATGCACAAACATTTCTACCCACGCTTCATTATTATCTTTAAAAACGCGTCCGACCCCGTGAGCGTCAAATTGATGTTCCCTGATATTACTTAACGTGGCTCTGAAATCACATTGTGGGCATTTTCTGTGACGTTCGACGTGTATACGAAGTAGTTCCTCCGAGCCAAACGTGGTTCTACAAGCTTCGCACCTAAGAAAGTTCCACGTTAACTCTTCGGGTGAATAATAATAATAATAATAATAACGCAATTTAGTCTCACCTTGGAGGGCCATTAGCACTTGAACTCCTATTATCAACTACGTTTGCATTATTTTTGTAGAGGAGGGATGACGTTGCAGCAAGCGCAGCTTGAGCGACCTTTTCACATTCAGGGTTTGAGTACACAGACGAGGTTGCTTGAGTTGAGGGTGTTTGTTTTTGGTTACAGTCGTAGGTGGTAGTGACGGGTCGCGACGTTTGGAGGTTTGTCGGTCCGTATTGAAACTTTCCGCGACCGCGTCCTCCCCCTCTTACAAACGATTTACCCCGAGAGGAAAGTCGCGAAGAGGGCGGAGGAGGCGGTGGCAAGTTGTAACTAGTTGGGATAAAACTACCACGGTATGCCGACATCGTGCGGTTGAATAACTAATTGATTTTTGAGAATCTCAGATCATTAAATCAAGAGACGGTTACACGAAAACTTCAAACACGAAACACACTTTTCGAGTTCACGTGAGAATAAACGCAAGAAAGTAGTTGATTATTTATTACTATTATTATTATGATTATTATTATCATTAGCATTAATCTCTCAGGAAAGGAGATTAAATTTTAAGAATAACAAAAACTTTCAACATTTAAATACATTAAATTATTCCTTTAAAAATATATGATAAACCGGGTGATCACTGGTTAGGAAAGTCCCCCGAAGGCGACACTTTTATCGGATGCGGCGCCAAGGCGCGAGAGACATCGCCCCACCATACGTCACCATTTTCCTTGTACCACGCGACTATATATTTTTTTTTGGAAGTAGGAGAAAGATCAGCTTGATGTATATTGAATGACAACGATAAATAAAAAAAAAAAATAAAAACAAAAATAAAAAATAAAAAAATTGAATAATTAAAATCCATTATACCCACTCGTTTTTCGCAGACCTTCTTCCCATCCCACACGAGGTTTCCATCCTAGGTTCCGTAGCTTACAATAATCCACAGCATATCGCATATCATTGAACGCGCGATCTTGCACGAATTCAATGTGATCGTCCTCGTTGTATCCGAATTTTCGTATCAAGAGTCTTGCAAGTTCAAGATTGGAAATCTCAAAATTTGACCCGATGTTATAGATCTCACCGAACTTTCCCATGTGCAAGATGATGTCCAACGCGTCGGCAACGTCTCCCGCATACAGATACTTGCGAGAGTTTGACCCGTCACCATGAATGTAACTTCAGTGTCGTTGAGAATTTTTAATAGTAATTATAACATCATTGGACGTGGAATCAGAAGAGTTACGATCATCGCCTACCACTTTCCTCCACGGATAAGACTGCAAATAAATTTCGAGCATATCTTCTCGGGGTATTGATAGGGACCATAGATGTTGTTGCTTCTCGTGACGATTACCGGCAGTCCGAATGACTTGTGGTACGCTTTCACGAGACATTCCGCGGCAGCTTTTGTCGCCGAATAAGGATTCGACGGAGCTAATATTGAATCCTCACGGCAATCTGACTATCTTATGGGCGAGTGATCAGCGTGTTGTACTTACGATCTGGCGAAAGTCAAAAACCAGGATGCACTTACGCTGGTCTTTGCAATCTCACCGTAGACTTCGTCGGTACTGACATAAATGAATCTTTTTATTCCATGCGATTTGGCAGCTTCCAACATGACGTGCGTTCCCATGACATTATTCTTAGTGAACTCCAATGAACTTTCAAAGGAATTATCCACGTGTGTTTGAGCCGCTAGGTGAAAGATTGTGTCAATCTTCCTCTCTTGCAGGATGAACGACATGAGATCGGAGGAAGTTATATCACCCTTTCAATAATCAATGCAATGGAATTAATCAAACCAACAATGAAGGCAAATGATGGTAATCAATTTTGAGAGAACTTGCGCTACCTTCACGAAAGAGTAGTTTGAAAAGTTTTTCACGGTTCTCAGGTTTTTCAAGTTGCTGCAATAATCCAATTTATCCACCACGACGACATTATATTCCGGATACAGTACGACAAGCTTTCTGACCAAGAAACTGCCGCTAAAATGGAATCAGACAATGAGTTATCAATCGATTGGTGAATGAAATTCCCTCGGGAGACGACGCTTACGTGAAACCAGCCCCACCGGTAACCATGATATTTTTTATGTCAGGGTTCGTCGGTTCTACTCTTGTGCCAATGTCTTCCAGGTCAGCTTTCGAGATATGGAAGACGGACGAATGAAGGGAGGATCCATTCGTGGTTGTCCTTTGACTCTTATGTTGGTGACCTCCTTGAATTGAAGCCGGAGCTAGTTGATAATGAAAACCATTCTGTGATGCAGACGACGAAGAATTCAATATTTCGTCGCGCATTTTTTTTTTTTTTTTTTATTAATAATCAGGAATAGATTTTTAAAAAAAGAATCGCTGTCAAATGAGAAAATTAAGAAGCTAGTTACAAGGTAATCAGTGTCTGCTTGTGAGTTTAAAAGATTCCGAGACGGGCGCGCGTTCAGTCGCGATAATGAGGGGTTAACCAATTTCAGAAGAAAGGGCGTAAAAAAAAATGAATCCGATTTGGGCAAGGGGAGCGAAGGAAGTGAAGCGCATTCGAAGAATTTCCATAAATACGTAGCGGTGAGTGTACGCACGTATCATATCACATTCTTTTTTAATTCTCTGGACATATTATGTATGTATGTGTATGTACAGGATGTGTGTGACGTACGTACAGTACATATTGATAGGTAATGCACGATATGCATCGATACAACGTACACCAAGTACGACACGTTTCATGATTCTTTCTTGTCCTTCACAATGGACTCCGGGAAATCAACTTCTTTTGACACCGTGGGTATTCTCTTTTCACCCGTGCCTTCGATCAATTTTTGCCAACGTCTAAATATGCATTGACACTTGTTGATCAGAGGGTTCTGCGCGAAATTTTCGGGAACGTATGGAAAAATCGAAAAACAAGAGGTAAATACAAAAAAATCAACCTTGCACGTCGTTTCACATCATAGCGCAATGAAATCTCACGTTCTTAAACGTAGCGGGAAAAGATGCATTATCACTATCGGCTGAGTACTTGCGGTTGTTCACGGCCGGTATGACATCAAATGAGAGGGGAGGCAAGGTGTTCGCAATTTTTTCCTGACTCTAATTCATCTTACAGAGGCAATAAGCCGCGCCGCGATCGTCGCAAGAGAAAGATCTCGATCGAGCGTCCCGCAACTGAAAGCTTCCCATCTGAAAGAGATTGCCCTTCAACTAAAACGTGACTTTTAACGTGACCTCTGTCACGTGTTATTATCTAAAAGTATGTTGTGTACAAGATGAAAAAGATAAAACGAGATCCACCTTTGGTTCTTCCTTAGGACATGTTTGTTTTTCTTTGAAAAATTGTGCCGGCAAGTTTCCTTGAGGGAAAAGATGATTATCATTATACATACGTGCACACGTACACATACACGCACGTATCCGAGTGAGTATCCTGCAAAATGCTCAATCCGGGTTCCGAGCATCTAACCATCTAAGAAGAAAAAAAATAAATATGTACAATTACACACAAACCCCCCAATGTCACTCAAAAAGTCGCTACTACTATGAGGGGCTGATGAATATGTGCGCCATCTTTAATTGGAATAAGATCGATAATTCTTGAGATTATTGCGCAAAAAATGTGATATTAGAATGGAATTTTCACCAAACTGTCATACGTAGTACGATCATTCATCAACAATTCCATCTCATGTGGTTAACTGTTTGGCTATTACGTACCGACGTTAACTTTAACCACACATGTTCTTAATACGCCATCCATCCGTTATTTAAACCGTTGTAGTTTTTTCAAAGTACTTACTATACAAACGTGCCTATGTACCTATTCTTAGTTGCGTCTAAGCGTTGACAAACTTCCTTTTGCCTTTTCTTTTCTTTTCTTAATATACATATATATAAAGAATGTGGTCTTGTTTTCACAAGTGCCCTTGCATTCGCTTCCGTGGCGATTCACATACGCCACTTGACCAATTCTACGAGGACGAAGATAACTTGGAATTCGAGCACCTGTTAGCCAATCAGGATAGCACCTCTCTCTCTGCTCTCTTGACGCGCAACCCGTTTCCCCGGGTCACAAACACCCCAAGTTATTTCAGTCCGCGTATGATACTGCCTAACGAGGAAGCTACAGCTTCTGCCAACCGTTTGTTATTGGAAGACGACGAAAATTTACAGGACGCACAATTTTTGCCTGATGAACAGATTAGCAAATTTACGGAGCTGATAAGTGAACAGGTGAGAAGAACTCAAATATCTCGATCGTTTATTAGGTATCCGACATACATTAGTTGAGGAGAGGATAGTTGGATTGCGATTGAGCAGATCAGTTTCTTTGTCACATGTTCGCTCCCGTCGTCTATTGGTTAAAATGATATTCGTCGGTGGTTTCGTGTGAAATTCGATGACGGCCAACTTTGATATTATGCTTACCATTTCTACTCTCTATTTCATGCATTTTTTTTTTTTTAGTCAACGCGGGTTTGTATGGGTTGTTTTCCGCTGGTGTCGTTGGAATGCCGGAATTTTAATCAAATTGCTTTCACCCCTCCACTCGTTTCAGGGCAAATACGATGAGTATAATGAGGTCACCGATGATCAACTGGTGGCGGAAGAAGAGGAGGCTCGACGTCAAGAGGAAGAGGATATCCAGCGAAAGCGCCAGGCTGCCACACAGGTTGCTCTTGCGAAAGGCCTGATTTCATCATCAGATCAACCGATCACCAATAAGAATGCATTTTTTTCCATTGGTGATGAAGAAAGTGACTTTCCCAATGATGGATCAACATCCATAGAGTTCTCAAGCAAAAAAATCATAGCGACCAGTGACTCTGAGTCACAAATTTCATCCCTCAATAAGCCCAGAAACCCACACGAACGAGTTCTTGCCAAAGATGTGAATCTCGATGATTATGACGACGTAAACGATTTCGAAAACATGTAAGCAACTTAAAGATGTTGTCGCAATTCTTCCATAAAACTAAGAGCACATCTTTGAATTATTACCATTATCATAAAATGAAAAAATTTCAATTTCTTTAATTATGAAATCGTGATTGAAATTAAAAAACAAAAATCAAATGAAATAACCATAAAAAAAAAAAAAAAAAAAAAAAACAAATAATAATAAAATAAAATAAAATACTGACTTTAGGCCGCCCACCAATTCCAAAGATCAAACGGCGATCAGCGATCCCTTAACCTTCCCCTCGAACGATACCACTCAAGAAGGAGCATAATACGCGACAATCAACTAAAGATTGAAGACTACTCTCCATTTTCCGTTAGCATACTACGGTCCGATGATTATGAAGAATATTATAGTCCAACTATAGGTGACGCAGGTGACGAGGAAACCATTAACCCATTTGCAAATATTTTACCTGACTTTTCGGAGAAATTGGGTAGATTCTTTGGTAGTTTGGCCAATTCCACGAAAGAAAAAAATAAATCAAGAGAGGATGATGATGATAATATTAACCTTAATGATGATAATTTGGGTGTGAGCAAAGATAAAAACCACCACATTAAGAACTTGTTCCCATTTGTGACTGAACCGGAAGAGTGTCGAGTAGGGTCATCTTCATCTGATGTAAATAGAAATATTAATGGTACGAATATTCGTATAGGATCACTGAAATTAGCCAATAGGTTGACAGGCTCACCTTTTGAAAGATCCCCTACCAACGATTCCAGAAGCTAGAAATTAAAAACCGTAAAAAAAAAAATTTTTTTTTTTTATTTTATATTTGAAGTATAAATATCATTTTTTCGATTTTGTTAAACAGAACCAACTTAATATTGTTATTTTATCTTTTTTTTTTTTTTCCTTTATTTACCGGACAAGACATTTAAGTTTCTCTTGGCACCTTTTTCATCACATTAATGTTAACCTCCTCCCACCTTCCTCTCATCATCTTACCTTTCCACTTTTATTCAACCACCATTTATTTAATTTCTATTTACGATTGATTCGCTATCATAATTGCCTTATGAACTCATTTATGTAAGCAACCGTCATCGATCATCGATCGGACATTTATTAATTAAAGGACATTAATTAATGTTGTAAAATAATTACCTTTGTTAGGCGGACGTTGTTGTCGATGTGATTGATCATCGACGCATGGTTTGCGCTCTTGGATGAACAAATTTGTCAAGCATAGCATGGCACGGTACGATACACATTAACTGTTACCAACCAAGCGTATGCGGTATGGTTCATGCGTCAAATCTTTAAATCATTAAACGTGCATCGGAGTCGTCATGAAAAGATCGAAAAAAAAAAAAAATAGAGTTGAGTTTATCAATTATTATTTTATTCTCGCTGTGCCAATTTATTGTCAATAACGTTCGCCACAAAAAAAATTGTATATATATTCATCAACTAATCCTTTTCTTAATAATTTTTATGATTTTTTTCTTTTCTTTTAATGTTTATTTATACACTATGATTCTTAAGTTTTGATAATTTTTCAAGTTTCAAGTAATACATAAAAAAAAAATTTTTTTTTGAAAGCATGACAGATAATCATATTTATAAAAAAATTTTCTTTATGTTATCATATAAATAAAGGTCCAAGTAAAATTCTTTTAAAATACTTTAATAAGTTTTCATAATTTAATGATAAAATGTTTATAAATACAAAATTTAAAATAAATATAAAATTTCAAAATTATTTTATAAATAATATTATACTATAGATTCTTAAAAACTACAAATATAATAAAATTTTTGATTTTATCGAATATAGTATAATAATTTTATGTTATTTCTATTATCAATTAATCTTATTATAATTCTATTTATTAAAGTTTTCAAAAATTTTTTTTAAATATTAACTTACCTATATATCAATATAAATATATTTAATTTAAGTAAGAAGAATATCTAAAAACAATTAAAATAAATAATTATTTGTATTGTCTAAAGATTTATAAATTAATGGATAGTATAAAAAAAACAAATTGTTTATATTTTATTTGATCAATATAAAATAATTATATGATTATCTAGTATAAATAAACTACTTATAAAAACAAAACCATTAGTTAATAGTGTCAACCTATCCAATTCACCTCTTAGGAATCAGATAGAGACAGAGAACTAGTGCAGGGAAACACCAAGTTAG